TGTGTGTTGGGTGTGTTGTGTGTGTTGTGTGTGTGATGGGTGTGTGTGTTGTGTGTGTTGGGTGTGTTGTGTGTGTTGTGTGTGTGATGGGTGTGTGTGTTGGGTGGGGAGTGTGGGAGGCCCTCATCTCTAGCCTGATATTTTACATTTCTTTCCTCACTATATCTGCGACCTTCCTCCCAAATGACGACATTTTTGTTAACTTAAGACGGAAGAGATAACCGAGGAGGGAGCAGCAGGGGACGCAGAGGAAGAGGAAGCTGAGAAAGGAGAAGAGGCAGGAGAAGAGGAGGAAGAGTCCTAGGCCTTTTCGTGCTTTATTCCTTCCACATTTCCAGGTAACCACACAGGCCTGGGGTGGAAGACTCGTGGACGGCAGCATGGCGTTGCGCCTCTCGCGGGCGACGGGAGGAGGGGACCCAGTTCAGGCCCGTTTGACGGTCTCCGCACGGTCCCGGCTGCCCGGCTCTGGAGCCGCAGGGCTGCTGAGCTCTGTGGACCCGTGTCCGGCGTGCGAGGGTGTGGAAGGCCATGGCTTATGTGACTTCTAGGAAAAAGTGCACCTTGGGGGCAGGGAGGGGTTTGTCTCGTGTTATTTATTTCCTCCTCTCCCTGTGTGACCTTCAGGTAAGTGAGGGCTGTTCTGTCACCCGCGTTCTAGTTCACGGACTCTCCTACGGCCCCGTGTACTCACAGAGCTGGAGGGGAGTGACGGTCGGTGTTCACGATGGTGGCAGTAACTGACGGGCTTGGACAATCACAACGCAGCCTCTTCTTCTTGAAAGGGAACTACTGCCCCTAGAGATGGAGGGACAAGTACTTGATAGACATTTACACTTACCACACATTAACGGGAATGCTCACGTAGAGACATCGTGGAATATGGTGAAAATCACCTTAGGTCTCTTTGACAAGGATGCTTGCTGCCTTGTAATTTTAAACTTCTGACGATATAAGATAGCTATGTAATTCTCAGTAGTTCAGTAAGTGCCGTGTAAATATATTAATGAGGTGATGACAGTATCTGATGATAGTGGATATTGAGGACCTAGAAGAAATGCTCAAATATCGTGGGTCGTATAGATAAGACCGTATGTATGAAAACGAGTCAAGATCAGTAAATGTTACAGAAATATCTGGCTATTCCAGAAACTTGGCCGATGCTGATGCAAGTGTTATATTCTTATTAATATTTTTTAACCTTGTGAACAAATTTGTGTCAGCAGTTTATTCTCTAGGCAGTGAGGTCTGCCGTGTGCTCTGGTGCTAGAAGCGTTTAAAATTTAAGTTAGAACAATTCTTTTAGTCTCCTTACTAAAAATTTTTTTGGTCTCCTTCCCTTCATGGAAACATGTAAGGCAGATTTGGGGGCCGCAGACATCAGCAGGGCTGGGGAAGGAGAGGAGGAGGGAGGGGCTCTGAAGCACAGAGCAGGTGTTCGGTGAAGGTCTGCAGTGCATCTTGGAGCCTATGGCCTGAGGGGTGGGCAAAGGCTCAGAGGGAGAAGGAAAAAGAAATCCCCAGTGCTTTGTAAATATTGGCTAAGGAATAGGGCCACCCTATATACCAAAGACCAATTTGGTTAGTGTGAATCTCCCCTCTTGCTATTCTTACGCCTATACATAAAAAGTTAATATAAAAAAATTCATATATTTTTAGGGAATCTCGGAGTTGGTGAGAGTAGCCCCTTATTATCAGATCATGGAAATTTCATTATTCATTTATTTAAATTATGAAGCGAATTGGGCCCAGCATTTGAAATTTCCCAGGTGGTTTCTTTCATGTTGTGGACACACAGACCTCCCCTTTAAGGCCTGATGGTTATCATTTTGGAAATAATCCCATTTCTTTTATTTAAAAATTTTTACAGTTTTCTTCTGTTGTTACCATTGAGAAGTCTGTTAATCTTTTTAGTGTCCCTACTCTCATCTCTGAGGAATGGTTTGGGACACATTTTTTGAAAAGAAGAAATTGAGCATGTTTAAGTTTTAGAAATTCTGTCTGAAGAATGTTGGGGAAGGGAAATAGCCTGATTATTTATTCTTATACCAAAAAGCCCCAAACAGTGAAAACTCGTAAGTACTGTTTAAATCCATTTCTATTCAGTGTGCTTGGAATGTTCTTTTAAAATCATGCAATTTTAGTGTGGTAATTAAAAAAATATTGAATGTAAAGTGGCAGAGCTCAGAGCATCCTCCATGTAGCCAGATGGCTTTATAGGCTGATTGAGAGAAGCAAAAAAACAAAACAAAACAAAACAAAACAAGTACAGCTGTGGTCAGCAAGCACATTTGCCTATTTCAAGGATTCTCTCGTTTGGAATGCGTCCATAGTAGTCTGTTGTGAGATCACAATGCCTGTTCGTGAAGGAGTGGCTCAGACACCTCCCTCAAATCCTTCCCCTGACCCCTGGAGAGATTCAGTATCCTTTCAAATGCAACATGGCAATGCGGTCATGCATTCAACTGGGCAGGCCCTTCAGTGTCCAAAGCAAACCCATCTCTTCGCTCCTGGAGAATCTGGGCATTTTATTTGAAGAGATTTGACTTTAGGGAGAATGCGGAGAACCCAGGCAGAACAATGAATGGAATGCGGAAGGAATTCTCATTTCCTATGTTTGAAATTGATGCTCAATTAATGCCCCAGGAGAAATAATCTCTAGTATGAGACTGAATTCTCCCTCCCCAAGGGCTGCTACTCAATACTGTCCTCCAGTCGAGGTGTGGACCATTTAAATTTCCCTCTCCAGGACTAAACTTGTAAATTCAGCCTCTCCATTCTCCACAAAATTTCAGTGGGGAAACTGTAATCGGAGATACTGACTTCCTTACGGTGTTTGATATGTGTTAGTACAGAGAAAGGATATAAACCTGGTCTGGTTTTCCACAAAAAAAATATTTCCTTTCCTTTCCTTGCACTTGGAAGCAAATGATGAGTAATGGTTTATAGAGTAAAAGGGAATACTTCCCACTAATGTGTGATAAATAGTGAAGATCATGGTAAACATTGGCTTATCCTCCTGAAATCTTCTCCCTGATATTCTTCCTTTCTTTTAGAAAACCCAAGCCACGAAGCAGTATTTCAACTGTCTGCCCACAAACCAAACTCACCAAAATGCTTTGGTGTGAAGCTAGCCCACCTCTCTCGGTACACCCGGGTTCACTGAGGAATTGTACCATTTGACATGGTTAGATGTGCACGGATATGTCTACCCGACCTTAGCAACGTGAAATTCTATGTGAAGACAACTCATGCATACCTTCATGTGCCTGACGTCCTTGGCCTTTGCTTAATTTTTTTTTTTTTTTTGCTCTGCATGAATAGATCTTCTTACTAATACCCTGAAAAAAAAAAACGATTTTGAAAAATGATTTCGAAATATAGAACTTCTCTTTGTGATGTAATAAAAGTATTTCTTCGTATGTGCCTTCTGCTACTTGTCTCAGAATTAGCTGAAAATAAAGAGCTTTGAAAATAAAGAGCTTTCCAGAAAACAATCATACAAATAAAGATTAATGGCAGATCTCTTGTCCCGAGGAACATTAATTTCTTTATTTATAGTCTCTGTGTGGTTCTGCCTGAACTCAGTCTGTCTGTTGCCAAAGTCTGAATTCTTAGCACAACCTTTCTGTCTGCACCGGGATGGGCATTTTCGGTTGTACTGGTTATTTGGTCCATGTTTTCAAACGGCGCTGGTTGTCTGCTTATGTCATGTTTTGTATTGTCCACACAGCTGTGCCCATTATCTCTGAAGCCTTATTTAAATGTAAGTCTGCCATCCACATGTGTAGGGATGACGGGAAGGACAGATAAATTTGCACCCTGGTGTCTTGGCACGTTTCTGCGCCCACAGAGTGGCTGCTGCTTTTCCTCCCGCCTCTCATTGATTTGCAGCCCCCGGCTGCGACCTGCAGAGCCCGCTGCTGTCATTGTGCCTCCTGATGCCTGAGTTCACCACGGGCTGGTCCAGCCCCGGCGACAGGCGCACCAGGTAGGCTCGAAGTGTTTCTCTGCTCACACACCTCATCCCCGTTCATCACAGGGATTTTTCCTTCCTGGTGAGATTTTGTTGACATCCCTCTCCTCTCCCGTGTCTGTGCTAGTCTTGTCTCTCTCTTGCTGCAAGCTTTGCTTCCACTCTGTCAGGAGAACTCGTCCCCTCGATGTGCTCCTCTTTAAGGGCAGTCATGGCGCTTCCACGCGGGGTGGCCCTGAACTTGACCTCCTCCTCCGTCTGCCTATTGATTTTGTGGCTCAGCCGGTTTGTGTCATCTGGGAATGTGTTGTGTGGTGACAGAGGTTGTGTGCCTCACGGGAACTCTGCAGACAGCTCTTTTCTTGTTACCCTAGTAACAAAAGAGGCGTTTTGAAGAGAATTAAGATTATTTTGTTCCCAATTGTTGAAGTAGACTGCCTTAAAAACCTTTCTTCCTTTGTTACCTGTGAGGTGAGACTAGAGTGAAATTTAAAAATTAATTTCTATTTTGTACTTTATTGCATTAAATGTTGTCCTGTCTCAAGAGCGTGTGTGCTTAGTAACAACTCCACTCAGAGGTAGGCCTCAAGTTCTTCACTCTTGCTTGGGCTGGATTTTAGCCCTTTTGTGGTAGAGTCGGATGGAGATAGATGTATTTAGCTGGTTGCCAGTTTTCCTCCTGGTTTTCGTATTTTTAGATGAAAATAACTATTTGTGCTAATAATAAGCAAGAGAACAAAGATGACCACTTACTTAAATGGAATTATTTTTTTTTTATATTGTCTTTCTTTAATCAGAAAATTAACATTGTACGAGTGTAGTTTTATTTACTCTCACCTCCTTTTCTTGAAAGTATTATTGCATTGCGGACTCCACTTAGGTCTGTAATGCCGTATAAACAGCACGGGTCTCTTGCGGACTCAGCTTAGACTTAAGTGGTTGGTGAGTCCGGGGGCGCAGTGAGGAAAATCCCTCAATACGGACTGTGCAATATCAAAATACAGTTTTAAACCTCCACACACTTTATCCGTATGGGAAATTTCTAGAAACCAAACAGCATTATGAATATGTAAAAATGAAATTCAAAAGAAAAACCCAAGTGAATAAGCAAAATCATTTTGAAAAAAGAAAAGACCAGAAAAATGGAATAATTGTCTGATGATATAGGTACAAGGAGTTTGATTTATTAGTCTACAGAAGGCCCAAATTCCAAGTAACAGTTTCTCTTTTGATTTTTTTAATGATTTTATTTATTTGAGAGAGAGAGAGAGCGCGCGCGCGCGCGCACAGGAAGGGGGGAGGGGCAGAGGGAGAAGGAGAAGCAGACTCCCCGCTGAGCAGGGAGCCTGACGCTGGACTCCATCCCAGGACCTTGGGATCATGACCTGAGCTGAAGGCAGACGCCTAAGTAGAAAACAACTACACAAAATTCAAGTGCACTTTTTCCAAGCCCCGACCAAGAAATGCTCCCTTCTGCACTCTGCTCTTTTCCCATCAGGGGTCTCCTTGCATTTCTTTGGGTTGGAGTCTTCATTTGGTGCCTGGATCCCAGATGTGCAATAAAGGCGGTGTGTGGTTTTTTTGAGTTCTTTGTTTTCTAGGCTAAAGGTGAGAGGTGCATAAAGCGAATGAGATGTGTTGCCTGCATAGTTCCTTGAGGAACATTTTAAAATGTTTCCTTTACCAAACAGTTTCAGTATGACACCTACTTGTGCAAGCATGATTCTGCTTAGTGACCCTAGTGAATTGTAATAATGGAGAAGGACCATTAGGTGGTGATAGAACATAAGCTTCTGGACACAGCGTGCTGCCCCCCAGAGCCCCCTGCAGCTCGGACAAGGTAGGGAACTGTTGAAATCAGAAGGTGGGCATAGGGGATTTGCCAACCGGACGGAGGAAGAACAGACAGAAACCCTGCATGCCAATTGGCCAATTAATTAGCATAATCTTTTGTCATGCTTTTAGCCAAGATAATGTATCTTGGGCAAAATGCTGTGTATTCTTAAACGCCATTAAACCAGTAATTGATTGTTTGAATTTCACACCGTTGCGTTCCATGGAAGGAGTCTAAACCCAGTCAACGACCGACTGCCTACGGACACTTCGGGTAAAGGTACAGGATCTTCCTGTAGCCTCTAAATGGTTCTAGCGCCTCCCAGGAGTTTAAACAGAACACTGATGAGCCAAGTGCCTCCCGATCCAGCCCTTCAGCCCAGCCCTAATACAGCATATTTCCAACTATTTGGAGATATATTCATGATCCTCACAAAATCATTGCTTTCATGATTGTCTAAGATCTTCAGCTTTTTTTTTTTCTATTTGTTTTGGAGGGACTTTGTTGGAAGTAGAAAAAATGAATTGTGAAATCTTGAAACATATCAGCAGGTCGGTTGTTTTCCAGAACTAGAAATCCGGAGATTGTTCAAAGCCACGGTGATGCTCTCAGGGGTGGAAGATGCGCAGGGGGAAAGGACTCAGCTGGGCAGGTGCAATGCGGGGGTCAAGGAGTAACTTGGGTGGAACAGGTTCAAGTCCAGCAGACGGAGCCTGTTAGCACCGGAGTGTGCCCCCACCTCTCACACGAATCAAACTCACAGTTTAGGATTAAAATTAGGCCGCTGTGGTTCTTGTGTTTCATAGTGTTTTTATTCGCTGACATTTGTTGGCTGCCTGCAATGAGTCAGGCTCTGTATTAAGGGCTTCACACAATCCCTTTGGTAACCTGATGAGGTGGACACCATCTTCATTTGACAAATTAAGAAAGTGAAGCAGCAGGGAGGTGTGAGGACGGAGTGTTCAGTACTCATGTAAGGTCCCACAGCCCAGAAATGGCCAAGCTGGGACCGAGATCTACCTGGGTTCCACCCGTGGCCAGGGGCAGCGTTCCCAATAAACCCTTTTCTCTGCATCCTTGACCACAGCTGCGCCCCCTGGACAGTCCCCGATTGGGCAAAAGTGGGCAGTCCGTGCCTTGTCCTCAGAGCATCTCCTTCCCTGGACCCCCATGGTCCTCTTGTTCTGCCTTTAGATTCAATGCCACAGTCATGATTTTCAGGCTTTGGAACTTCTCAGCTGTGATCCACATATGCTGAGTTCTTAGTTGAAGCATCAGGTTCAACTCCATCCCCTTCATTCTCAGGTTCTTGGGCTGTTTGCTGTGGCCACCCATGCCGGCCCCCGTTATAGAGGGAAACGGAGCCCAGTCAGCCCAGAGCACTCTAGAAGTCGGTCGGTGGCTTCCGATCCAAAGACTTAGGTTGCAGAGAGAAAAAAGTAAAATTGTCATCTGCTTTTTTCAGTCGTCGTCCTTGGGTACACTCAGCTCACTGATGCTGAAGGGTACACTCAGAACTCCTCCAGGGCTTAGCTGTCACCGGCCACTAAGTGATGCGCCGGTGTCGCAACGAGCTCCTTATGGTATTTTTAGCTGAGAGGATGGTTCCTTCTGGCTCCTGGATGAGGCAGATTTAATGAGGTAAAATATGCTTTAGTCCCAGGGCATGAATTTTAGTTTGCTGGTTTTGTAGCAGATCAGATTTCTCTGTATTCCCTTTAAAAAAACGTTTGTCTATTGCTGGAAGGAAACAGGTTATCTAGGGAGGGAAATAAAGCTCCTATTAAAAACCTCACACTCATAGGTTAATTTCTCTTCAGATTCTGCAAAAATAAAGCAGAGAAATACAGCCTGGTTTTAGTTTGCTCTAAGGGGTAGAGATATTCTCCAACCTTTAACTAGATTCAGAGATTGAAATACTATTAGGTCAGATCCACTAACCAGGCTGCTTGATGGTGTCTCAGAGTGGCTATGAGGGATTTGGGTGGTATGAAGAGGTTCTCTGTGAAATATTTAGGTGGGGGACTGGGAGTTCCGGATAGCTCCTGAACACACCAGGCGATGGCTCTCCACCTGGCTAGAATTCCTGGGGACTCTCTGTACCATGATGGTGTCTTTGATCCACTGAGAAGGCACCAGAGTATTTTTGGAAGCTCCTCAGAGGGTTGAGATGTGCAGCTGGGTTTAAGCAATGCTGCCCAGGAAGAATCTAGACTCTGGGGAACCAACCAAGCCCTTGTTCCCTCACCTGCATGGGCCAACCAGACTGTTCACTTCCAACGGACTCTTACAAAGGAACCAGTGCCTTTCAAATATATATTTTTAAGCCACGTACCTCTCTGTTCAAATGGATCTCCAGTGTAAAAATCAGATGGAAGGAGAGCCACTCTGAGTATAATTTCGGGGACCTTCACCCCAAGGGGACCCAGTGCAAAGAACAGTGTGAAAAACTCTTTGCTTGGTTGTAGATTTTTCTCTTTAAATCAACTTCATTAAGGTTTGCTTTATACAATCATATGCCCCTGTGCTGTTTTTCAAACACTGCCCAGTTCTCCAATTTTCTGACACTAACTGGGTATCTTATAATTCAGTTCTGACACTAACTCCTGGGGTTAATTTCTGAGCTTTTTAATTACCAGTCTGTTTATGCCTATGTCTGTGGATAGACATTGGAGTCATTTTTGGTT